TTTCAGTCCTGGTCAGTATTTTTTCCCCAAAAAACACAGGCTATATTTTCAATAAGTATTTGAGTTGAGTCTAGGCAAATGCCATTCTGACAACCCACCCCCAAGGATGCCGTCCCTCGCCAACCCGCATTTCCCGGTGCGCCGCCTTCACAAGGGGCCCATTCAGAGCTGGGAAACACCCACTCAAGGCAGGAAGAAACTGCAGTTCATCTCACGCAGGCGGGGTTGCCACAAAGCTCTCAAGCATCCAAAGAAACGCTCCTTTCATGAGCTCCCCTTCCTGGCCAAAAAGAGTAGCCATTGTTCTCAGAGGAACAATTGGGGGCCCATGCCAGCAGCTGAGAGCAGAGTCCCAGGAAGGGCTGCTCCCAGTCTGCCGACATCTTGGGCTGAAGGGAAGTCCACATTGTCTCCAGGCAAGGAGGCTAAGGGGAAACAGGGATGAAAAGCCACCCGTGCCGGCTCTACTACTAAAATGAGACATCTGAGGGGGCTCCAGAGGGGTAGCCTGGTCACTTCATGAGAGGCAAAGCTGTCTCTCCTGACCACGCGGGAGGAAAGGTTAGAACATCCCCGGGCATATACTCAGCCTCCTCAGCTAGGGAGCCACATTCACTCAGGTCAAAGGAAAGGTGTCAACCCAAGGGAGGCAAGAGTCAGGACAGGTAACTCACACTACGGACAAGTTGGGACAGCCTAGGACCCGCCTGGCCAAGGCCAAGCTGGATGCTGTGGGACCTGGCCCCAGAGACCCTGATGAGGAGGGAGGGTGCTCTAGGGTCCAAAGGCAGCTGTGAGAGCAAAGAACAGTCACGACCTGGGATGAGCTTTGTATACAGGCATCCAGTCTGGTCCAAAGGAGCACACACCAGGACCATCTGCTGTGGGGTGTCCTCAGGTCATAGGAGAGGAGAGAGCTTCACGGCACAGGTCTCTTGAAGGTCATGCTGGCCACAAAGGCCTGGAGATAGCCTGTAGCCCCTTCTTGCATCAAGTCCATGGCGTCCATTTGGGAAGGAAGCTGGGGTTGATAATATCAAATCGATTCTTGAGGCAGAGCTAGAGAACAGCAGAGCAAGTAAGAGGTGCTGGCCAGGCTGAGACTGGACAAGGGCTGTCCGGATATGAAAGTGTCTGGTATGGGGCAGAGCACAGGCTCCAGGACCTCAGGGCTACATCCTCTAGGCAGGCAATTCCCTTCTTCTTTCTCCCGACCTGCTGCTTCCCTGCAGCCTAGTGTATAAAGTATAGGGAAGCCCTTGTTTTAGCTACCAGAGGGGCACACCTAGCTGACACCAAGCAGCACACCCTCTGCCACTCCACTATGATTCCCAGAGTTGCCACCTCCTGCAATAGTCAGAGTAACCAACAGCCCACACAGGTCAAATAAGGCTCGGCAGGTGGCCAATGCAGCTCACTTAGCACAAGGCTTAATTTTCTCTCCTTTGGATGGACTGTTACTCAAGTCTGCTACAAACACTGAATTATTCCATCACCAACCCCCATGCACAGTCCCTGACCAGTTAGCAAGTGTGACAATCACACCATCTAACCTTAGCAGATCTCAGGCAGGTGCTCTGCCCATAAGTCCTCATTAGGCAACTCAGCCATGTCTGAATTGGCTGAAAGACTAACCCTCCCCTGGGAACCCCAAAGGAGACTTAGCCTCTTGCTGCCCCCAACATGGGCTGGCATTTCTCCCTGCACACAGCCAGGTAGGCCTTCACAATCCAAAGCAGATTTGCAGGAGCTGAAGGGGTCGTCATTCCCTCTGCCGGCCCATAAACATTTGATGGGAGTCACACATGCAAACTAACAAAAACCAAGAATTTCAAGTACAGAAATTTACTAAAAAGGTAACATAGGGTTTTGTGGGAAAGCTGCTTTAATCAGAGTGGAGGGAAGGACTCCAAGTTCCCAGGTGATATTCAAGTTGACCCTGAGTATATCCATGCTGATAGAAGAAAGCCAGAGGCCTGGGGTGGGCCCTGAGTTTGGCATGTTTGTGCGACAGAAAGGGGCAACTGTGGCTGGGACATGGTATGCAAAGGGAAAGGGGCTTGATCCTAAGTGCAGCTCAGTAATGGGGGGTTGGGGGTTTTAAGCAGATTTATGCTCTACAGAGATAAAGACATCTCTTGCCTTGGTCTGGAAAACAGACTGAGGGGTTAAGAACAGAGGTAGGGGGCCTGGGAAGAGGTAACTAAGTGGTGGCTTGGATGACGGTAAGAGTGATGGATATGATTTGGAGGTCACCCTGATAAGGTTCCTTGGGACAAAGATCTGAAATTTCCTGACATACACAAAAATATTGGGCAGTCATTAAAAGTTACATTCCCAAAGAATACATAACAACTAAGGGGAAAATAGTCAAGCATAAAAAAAGGTTAAAATATATCCAGTGTGGCCCCAGGTCCGTCTGAGATGTCTGGTAGGCATGTGACATGACATCTCTTGATGAAGACAGAAAATGATGGAGGAGTTTGTTGAGTGGGAGGAACCACAAGAGATTTTCTTTTCCCTTTTCTACAACTTGTATTTATACATCATTATTATAATGAGGGGGGGAAACAACTCCCTTAACATAAAGACTTCAATCCTGTTTCCAGGAAACCAAAGCTCCAGGAATGAGGCCAGGCATTCTGACCAAATTCCCACCCCACACAAGCCTGGGGTTAAGACTGGTGGGGATGAAGAGTCGCACATCTTCATCTGTTTTCCTACAGGCTGATCAGCTACTAAATGCCCTGCTTTACAGATAAATATGCTCAGATAAAATCCTGTTTTCCCAGTAAAATCTCTTTACTCCCCTGGAGAATAAGCCTGTTAAGTGTCTCTCTGCCAGATACAACAAATATCTGGCTCACTGTTTCAATTCAAGGCACCTGTGGTCAGGACTAATCTGTGTAAAACATTCCAGTGGCCACTGGAACAAGGGAAACGACTGCAGGGTTTGGATGTCCAGTAGATCAACTTTACAGTTGAGCAGGAAATGTACCTCCCCCCACCAACTGCCATTCTTCACTAGCACCTGGCTTGCTGGGGTACTATGAAGATTACGTGGAAATCTTCGAACACTCCGCAAACTAGAAAAGAGCTCCGTGGAAGTGATCCAGGATCTTCAGAAGTATGACCACCTTTGAGATCACAAGGCTACCCTGAGGACAAGTGACAGCCTAAGGGGAAGAGGGCCAACCAGGAAAAGGAAGAGAGCACGAGAAGGGTGCAGGTGAGGAGTGGGTCTGCCCAGATTCGCGGGAAAGGGGCACAAGTCCACCTCTTGATGTGGAGAGTGGCATAGAACTTGTGGCCATTTCTAGTCTAGATGCCTGGGGCTGTGGGTCAGAGGGGCAAGTTGGAAAGGACTGACAAGTCTGTATGTGCTTTGACCAACGGCATACAACAAAGTGTTGCTGTGCAAGTTTCCAAGCCAGGCCTTAAGAGACTGGCACCTTCCATTTCCTGTTTCCTGAACTACCTCATGGAACCCAGCTACTATGCTATGAGGAAATCCAAGCAGCCCATGGAAAGGTATGCACAGAAAGGAACTGAGAACCCTGACCAACAACCCAGCTAAGCTCTGTCAACACGCAGTACCAACCAACTTGCCCGCCACGCATGAGCCATCCTGGAAGAGCATCCTCCAGCCCCAGATAAGCCACTCTAGTACCATGTGAAGCAGAGATAAGATTCCTGGGTGAGCTCTGAATCCCTGAATTCCTGGCTACAAAACTGTGAGCAAAACAAATTGGTAGTTTTAAACCACTAAGTTTTGGCGGTTTAAACACACCAATAGGTGGCCAGAACACTATGTGTACACAGAAGTCTAAATACAATACAGATATAAAAACTACCATAGCAAAATATAGATCTTAAAATACTTTTAGTTCATTTTTAAGCCACAGCTCTAAGGAAAGAATGCTGTAGGTGAGGGGTGAGCGAGCTATGGCTATGAGTCAAATATGGCCTGCCACTACCTGTTTTTGTGCAGCTCAACTAAAAATGGTTTTTGCATTTTCAACTGACTGAAAAAAAAATAAAACAATAATAATATTTCTTAACATGCAAGAATTACATGAAATTCAAATTTCAGTTCCTGTGTCCATAAGTAAGTTTTATTGGAACACAGCCTTGCCCATTCATTTACAGATTGTCTATGGCTACTTTTGCACTAACTGGCAGAGTTAAAGAGTTGTAACAGAAATCAAAAGGCCTGCAAAGCCTAACATACTATCTGGCCCCCCAGGAAAAGTGTGCTGCCCTTTGCTCTAGATGCTCATAGTCTGAGAGGTACACCCCATGCACCCACAGGGCCACGATGCAAACTCACTGACAATCTAGGGAAAATTACAAGGTCCCACAACCCCAGACAAAGGCTCGGTGCTTCTCCACATAGAAGCTTCCTGTTTCACCTGATTTCCACCTGGGTCGGCCAAGATACTCTTCCTATTATTACATGGGTCTCAGGTTCCCTAGTTCTCTGAATTGCTTCACCATAAAAAGATATGGGGCAAGGCTAAAGTTTGGGTACTAATTTTGGTTTTTAAGTAGCCAAATACATTAGTAAACACAGAATGCCAAATTAGAGCAAAACTCCTATATTATTTATACCTTATTTTTTTTAAATAGGTCAAAGCATTTAAAAGTTCTGTATTTCTTGGGTTTAATCCCATGGTTAATGAAAGACCTTTTCCTATACACTGACCTTTTTCCATCAAATCCCTAACTCGATGAACAAGAGATCTTCAAGAGTATATATGTAAAGGCTTTTTAATGGTGACACCCTCAAAATGGAAGAAAAAAGGTTTAAGATGCTATGATGAGATATGTGGGGACCCTCTTGTGAACATCAGTGGCTGCCCCCCTCTTAAGGGACACTTAGAAGGTTCTGGAAAAACTGAGCTCAGAATAGCTACAGCGTAGAATAGAAAAACTAAAACCTAAAACTAAAATGAAAGATGATTAAGTCTTTCTCATTTACTCTTTACATCCAGCCTCACCTTGATGACTTCTCCACTGGAAGCAATTAAATCTGTTGGAATGGTCACTCGAAATGAGCGCCCAACGACAGCTGTGCCATCAGGAATGCCAACCACTGTGGGAACAGCCTCGGGGAGGTCTGAGAGCACTGAGTGCATGGACGCCTCAAGCTGGTTCTCCCAGTCCCTGATGGCCTCCGAAGGTTCACTTGGCCAGTGGGACTGAGTCACGGCCACGTACAGCAGAAGGAGAAAGGTCCTCCCCCAAATGGGGAGCAGCAGCGAAAGGCCCACAGACATCCTCATCCGGGTGAGTCTGCTTGAGCCGCTAGTCTCACGATGAAAGGAAGCAAGCGAGAGGTCCCAGAGCTGGGTTTTCACCCTCTGCACACCTGCTCCATCCCAGAGCGCTCAGAGCCTGAAAAAGAAGAGGAGCTCTCTTAGACTTCAGCAATACCCGTGATTTCAAAGTTGTACACAGGCAGTTTTTACCCCATAAGCGTTTCTGCCAAAAATATCTATCCCGAGTTGGATCAAGTCTCATCATGTGCTGTCCAGTACAGGGCCACCAGCTACATGTGGCTACTGAGCACTGGAAATGTGGCTGGCCCACTAAATGTAAAATACACACTGAATTTTTAAAACTTCATATAAAAAAGGAATGTAAAATATCTCAATACTTTTTAAGTATTCATTACATATTGAAACAATATTTTGGACATAAATATATTAAGTAATAAATATTAATACATGGTATATAATAAACTTATTAAATATATTATTAAAGTTAATTCCAATTTCTCATTTTCATTCATTTTTATGTGACATGTGGCTCACATTGTATTTCTCTTGGGCAGTGCTGCTCCAGACCTAACTTCCACTTTACAGGAAATACAGGAGTCATGAAGACACGATCAGACAAATCTAGAATGTGGGACCTTCTGCAAGGTAACTGGCTTGGTGTGTCCAAATGCTGCTACCTCTAAACACTAGGGGACTGTTCTAGATTTAGAGATCACAACCAGGTGCAGTGTATGCATCTTGACTAGATCCTGGATTTACTTCAAAAACAAAAACCAAAAGAGCACACAAGTCTAGCTCTCAAAGTGGTAACTGGGGAATTTTGCATGTGGGCTGGAGATAAGATTTGTTAATTTTCCTAGGTGAGATGATAAAGTTTAAAGTACTTAGGAATAAAATATCAAAAATCTCTGTAACTCACTCTGAAATAGTCCAAGCGGAAAAAAGTGTGTGTGTATATATAGAGATTAAAGCATTGTAGCAAATACAACAATTATTAAGTCTTTTAAAAATACTTTTGAAAAGACTAAAAAACCCACAGAGACACACAACAAATGCTCACTCCTCATACCCCAAGCACTAGTCACAGGACTCATTTATTAAACATGTATTTGCAAACTCAGTGCCAGTGAAAAACACTTATTTGGCCTTTCTTGTCCCCCATACTCAGTACCCTGCACATTGCCCCTCTCCCCCATGCCGGCTGCAGGAAGCTCATGACACCTGCTTTAAGGCTGTCAGCCACTGAAGCGTCGTGGGACTTGCTGTGTGCCCACAGGCGACCACAGCCACAGGCGACCACAGCCACAGCTATTCTGGAAAAGGGTTAAGCCCTGTCCTGAGCTAAGCTGTCAAGGGACCACGTGATATGTTTTTTGACCTGGGTAATGCAAAGTAAATAAAATTGCTAAAGAAAACAAGACCACTGACATGAGCAGTATACTCTAAAGTCAATGCACATCCAAGCCAATTCCAGCAGGATTTTTTTGGGGGGTACTGATTTTGCTATTCCAGTTCTTATTTTTGTTTTTGAGCTAAAATTCATGAGACAGAGCCAAACCCCAAGAAAATAAAACAATTTTGGAGGTTAGGCATCCTAGCATACCAAAGACTTATCCTAAAGCTAGTGTGCTTAAGGCAGTGTCTCATGGAGAGAGTAGCCAGTTGACTGTGGAACCAGAGGGAGAGCCCAAAACCAGCTTTGCAATGGAGCTGTTCTTTTTTTTTCTTCCCCTCCCTCCCTTCCCTCCTTCCTTGCAACGGAGCTGTTCTAAGGTGCAGAAACAAGTGGCCATCTATGCAGAAAAGCAAACGCAATTAGGTTCCTTCCCCAGTTTTCCATCACAAATGAGATAAACCCCAGGTGGATTAGATGCACAAATGTAAAAAGCAGAATTAAAAAAATTTTTAGAATATAGTTGAATTTTTAGAATATAGTCAGGAGAAGGAAGAATTTCATTTAAAAAGACATTAAAAAAACACGAAACATGAAAAAAAGACAACTGAACTTCCAGTTCCATGAAAATGGAATAGATATATTTTTCCCTGGCTTCCCACTAAATACAATGAAAACTCCTAGACATTATATGTAAAGTAAACATGAGATTTTTAAAAAGTCAAGAGAAGAAGGCAGACCAGCTGGGGACCCCAGGACTCAAGGAAAGATGGTGGTGAACCCCCTGGGTTTTCTTTTTGACTCCTATATCCCAGAACTGGAGCTGAAGAAACTGGCAACCCAGAAATGCAAAGAGATGAGACAAAAAGGTTGCAACAAAAGTCTGCTCTCTTTAGCCAAAGGAGCAGGCAGGGGGTAGCCTAGCAAGACAGAAAGCATTAGATAATAATAGCTCTATTCTAGCCAAACACCACAGAAAAAAAACTGGGGCCCCACTCCTACCCGCACCAGCAAAGGCCAAGTGGGAAAGCTGGACTGCACCCTCATGGGCACCCTGACATCCGGAGTCAGTGTCAGAGGCCAAGCAGGAAGCTGGGCCTTCTATCCCACTGGCCAGGAGCAGTGCGATGCCCTCACCCTCCTCCTCCGGCCCCTCAGTGTCAATGGAACCTGGATTTCTAGGCCCAGCCAAGCAGTAACAAGGAGCCTCTCCCCCTCCCTGCTAGGATGGGATCAGAGGACTAGTGAAGGGTCGGGATTTTTACCATTGCTCGGTGGTAGCAAGGCCTAGAGAACTAAAATTTCCACCCCTGCCCAGCAGTAACAAGGACTTCACCCACCTTCAGGGGTCAACGAAGGCTGAGTGGGGAATATGGACTTCTACCTCCACTTCCAAGTAATCAGGCAGCATCTCCCCTACCCTTCCCCTGCCAGAGAAGTATCAGAAAAAGCCAGCTAAAACAGAATCTAGAGTTTCAGAACAAAATACAAAAATTGTCACATTTCAATTTTAAAAATCACTCATCATATCAAGAACCAGGAAGGTCTCAAACTGAATGGGGGGGGGGGG